TCTTGTTCCCTGAGAAACGGAAGACACATAGGTGATAAAGAATGCTTGTGAAGTTGTGTAACTTTGCATCCTGCCCTGAGTGCCAGTTCTTTTTCATACCATATCCATCCACTTGTGGTTCACCCCTCCCCTGCCAAGCCAACGTCAGGCCTAATTCTTTAGAACAGTTAGGGGTCTCTTCCAGGAGCTTCCACAGTGTTTAAGGCTTATCAACAACTACAGTGTAAACCACCAATAGGAATATCGAGTGTTCTCACCATTGATAAGGGAATCCCTGTTCAGCTTGGACTCTGCTCTGGATCTCCTCCATGGTGACAGAGGCAAACACTTTGCTTATAGCACCCTATTTTATTTCATTGAATGATATCTCAGATCAGACTCCATCAGGTAGGCGAGGCAGGAAAAACTGCTAACGTTAATATCCTTCCATAGACCCCAGTGAGGAGACAGGATGGGAACAGTAACATAGTTGATCACCATTTGGATGAGCTAGAAGTCACTAACTGCAATCCTTCTGAAAAGATGAAGGTCTGCCAGGCCTTTCCATCTGCCCAGCCACTGAATCTGTAGGTCTGCCAAGCTTCACCATTTGCCTTTCTAATCTGCCCTCACAATCCTTGGACACTACCATCCAATTTACTATTGTCCCCTAAGTTTCTATTTATACTTTGCTATTTAACTGTATTCTTAGAATTTTCAGGCCTCTGCATCTGCACTGAAGCTGAACAAGACTCCTGTTTAGAGTGTAAGCTTTTTGTGAGCAGGGACTGCTTCACTGTTTGAGCTTTTATCCCAGAATTTACCCCAGTGCATGGCACATACTCTTAATAAATGGTTTATCATTTTTTCTTTCCATTCATTCATTCATTCATTCATTCATTCATTCATTCATTCATTCATTCATTCATTCATTTATCCACCAAGGATATCAGTTGTTAGATCTTTCAGCAACTTTTTCATAGCTTTGATATATGGATAAGGAAGCACCTTGTTAGAAGAAAGTGTTCAAAGCAGTGCTTTGATCTAATGAATCAAATGCTTTTTTATAATCAACATTAAAGCAGAATGGAGTCCTAGATTTGCTGTATCTTTCTGTCAGTTGTATGATGATAAAGATATGGTCTGCTATGTAATACCGCTCGTGAAAGCCTGCCTTGCTCCCTTCTTATGCCCTCATCAGAGGGTACTCTTGATATATGTGTATAGATTATCTTCATAAAAAGTTGATGTACATATGAAAGAAGTCATATAAGACGTATCTTTTCCATACCTTTGGTATGTTCCCCTTCAGTTACTTCATGGCACTGTCCTTCAACACTCTTACAGTTTTGTCACCACCAGTAAAGATCTCCTCTATGTACACTTAATCTAATCTAGATTCTTTTCTTTTGTGTTATTTAATATCATTTCAACCTCCTCTATAAGGACATCTGTGTTGACTCTACTTCCCTTGATGGTGAAAAAAAGATTTGTTACAAAAGTATAGATCTGTTTCTTTTTTTTTTTTTGTTTGATCTATTTTTCATCTCTAAATGCTCTTGGGATTATTTCCTTACTTGGGTCACCTGCAAAGTTTTATTTAAACCCTGATTTTACCCTTAACTGTTTCTGTCTGATTGATGAGGTAAAACTGCTCATAATCTTCATCATCCTTTTCTGTAAGATTTTGCAAACAGTTTTTTTTAACCCCCCCCTACGCCAGTGTTGTCTTTTACTCTCTTCACTTGGCAGTAAGTCAAGTGTGTACTGACTCAAAAAACCTTTTAGGCAGTTTTGTGGTTCCTTTGTTATGGTAATTGATTCCTACTGGAAAAAATTTCTGAATAAAATTATTGTAGTTTGTGGTCTGTATTCTTTCTTCCATCTGTATCTTTTTTTTTTCCTTTTTGGTCATCGATAATATATTATAATTATTTTAATTCTACACCATATTCTAGCTTTGTACTAATTTTCTACTTGGCTCTTATAAGTTAGTGGTCTTACTGTACCCTGACAGATGATTCAGGAATGACTGCTAATATCAGTAGTGAATCATTTCCTGTCTGTTAAAATATAATCAGTTTCATTTGTTGCAGTATATTTTAGCTCACAATGTTCGGTGCCTACCGCTTTTGTTTTTCTGGAAGAAAGTATTCATGTTATATAGGCAAGGGTATCAGTGTAGTTTTTCTATTCTGGGCCTCTCTTGTTCCTTTTCCTTGATTGATATTTTCCAATATGTCTTATCATGTTAACCAATTTCCACCTTGCTTTGAAGTCATCTAATACCAAATGTAGATACATATAATTTGGAGGATCTTACTGTGTTCTTCGTAGAGTTTTTTTTTAAACCTTTTCAGCCTCTTGAATAGATAGATGTTGGTATATAAGCTGCAGTTATTTTCCTAGTGGTCTTATCATAACCTCTGCAGTATAAGATGACTCCGTTCTGGGGAGTGATGTTTCTTGTCTTTGAGGGGGTGTAATATAAAACCAACTCTACCAAATTCTTTTTTGCCTTTATCTCTAGAACCTCAGTCATCTGCTATTTCTTTATTTCACCTTTCTGGTTCCATGTAGAGTGAGAATGTCAACATTGATAGGATTCAGTTCTTCTAGGAATGTATTTACTCAGTGGTCATTGGACAAGACTTATTTTTAGATTACTAGGCTGCGTTTTAGACAGTCAAAAAAGGGTTCTTAAACTTTTTTGTATCACTGACCCCTTTGGCATTCAAGAAATGTCCATAGACATTTCTTAGAATGATGTTTTTAAATTCATAAAATATATGAGGGAAACCAATTATAGTGAAATAGTTATCGATGTATTTAAAAAAAAAAACAACCAAGAACCAGTTCACAGAATTCCTAGTTAATAACTTCATGTCCAAAATCTTTGATTCATAACACTTTATGCTCCCTTTTCAGCCATATTGCCACTGTCAGCAGAGAAGCTATATAAGACCGAGACCCATTGTATAGTTTTGTTATTGGGTTGCCTTGGCCAAATGGCCAACTTTCTGGGGTGATCTTCATCTTCAATTAGCCTAGTTCTTGGAAAGTAGATTCAGCCTCTTGCTGGGATCATACTCACAGCCTTTCCAGCATCGTAAATCTTCCACAGCTGGTGCTCCACTGGCAAAGCCTTCAAGACCCCAGGTTCACCTCCATGCTACTCTGAAGTATCAGAATAGGACTTTGTTGAGCACATTATTCTATACTGAGAATAAATTAGTACTAATCTAAGTAGTGTAAAAAAAATAAAGATGATTAGTTAATAATGAATAAAGCCATCGCTCCAGTCTGGCTGCTTAAAAGCCATGCCAGATTCAGTGTTTGAAGAACTTAGTTTAATTACCTTAAACCATATTTTCACCACATTATCATCTTGGTTATTTATACCTCAGGTTTAGTAAATTCTATAGAAATTGTTTCTCTTGGGGGCAGTTAGGTGGCACAGTGGATAGAACACTGGCCCTGGATTCAGGAGGACCTGGGTTCAAATCCGGCCTCAGACACATAATACTAGCTGTGTGACCCTGGGCAAGTCACTTAACCCCATTGCCTAAAAACAAAAAAACTAAAAAAAAAAGGAAAAAAAGGAAATTGTTTCTCTTGAGCAGTTTGTTATGAAGGAAAAGCCATTTAGTAAATCAGCAAATTCAGAAGGTATTCATTGAATGTACACTATCTCCAGAGTAGCCATCAGAAGTTAAATGTCAGCCATGAAAACACTTCAGGGCTTGACTTACTTCATAGCAATATGCCAAGTTCCATGATCTATTTCTTTCATCCCTCTATCTTAATTGGTTGTAAACGATAACTTCTATTAAAAAAATACCTCAATACAAGGCTTTCCTCCCAAATACTGACGTATTATTTGTATTCAAATATAGTCTGCTATTATTTACTAGGCAATCTTGGGGTTTTGTAGCTAGCCAGCCATCAGTGCACCTGGGTGAGGCATTGATGGTTTGGTGAGCTTGGACAGCATTTCTTTCCCACCGTAAAAAAAGGTATTGAAAATAATAAAGAGACAATGAACACATACACATCTTACAAGGGCTCAGAGTACAAGGTGAATCCAGCAGCATTGAGGATCAAAATATATGACCACATGTTAAAAAGCAGACAGGCGGGGAATTAAAAATATAGCCCCAAATGTTTAATGTTGCCTTTTAACTGTACTTAAATTCATATTCATATCCTGTCTGTCTGTCTAAAGTAGCCTGGGTTGATATAGTGATGGTATAAACATATCCACTTGCAGTGAGTGCTTCTGCAAATCCTGTTTTGATAAGGTCTTAAATCTGTTGAGATCAGATCATAAAATTCCCTTGAAGTTTCAGCCACAGGTAAAAACATTACTTGACAATTTCTTTAAATATTTTTTTTTCATTTTTACACTCAGAGTGAATAACCCACATGGGTAATTTCCCCCCAAGAAACAAATATGGGTAGCATGTGGTGTGTTAACAGCAACATTTCAAGTGTAAATATTAAACTTGGTTAGTAAATTTTAATTTACCTTTCAGTAATTTTATGATTTACATGGAGCTCTTTTTCAGTATGCAGAAAGCTTAGAGATTTGGTGACAAATGTTCTGTAATAATGGTGACTGATAGGCAACGGAACGCTTTTTTAGTATGGAAATACATCAGATATTAAGTTCTTCATCAGTGGATATTGTTTCCTAGGTGATTTGTGGGTAGTGCATCACTGAAGGTCTTGCTAATGTGATTAATACCATTAAATCCCTTTTAGGATGCTTGTAGAGTGTATGCAAATGCTCCCTTTGGAGGAGCCTTGTTTAGCCCATTTTGCACATTGTATAATGGAATCCCAGGTTGCCATTAATCTCACAAATTTGGGAGTGGGTCTTTGTAGTGGTTACAGTGTGACTGCTGTGGTTATTAGGTTTTTACTGAGGGTTTGCAAAGTTAACATTTGTGAATGAATAATACACAGAGCTGTAGCACTCTCTAGCCTATACATTGTTATGTGATTTGTTGTTCACCTAGAAATCTATTCTTTGAAGACAACATCTGAATGGAAATGTGCTCTGGAAAAATCTCTTAATGATGCTGCAAAATTTCCTCTTCCAATGGAAGTGTTCAAGGTAAGCTGTTCACTCTTTTCGAGAATATAGGTTTGGAGAGGAGACCAGAAACTAATAAATATGTGGATGTTTTCAAAGTCACACTGATCAAAATGTGTGTTGGTGTTCTGGCCAATCATTTCCCCCGGTTTTCCACTTTAGAAAGCTCCCTTTTTGGTGATGTCTCCATCTCAGGTATTTAAATACAAACTGTTTAGGTGCAGTCATTTAATCTGAGTCAGGAAGCTTGGGTTCTAATCCCACTTTTGTGATTTGTTCCCTGTGTGACCCTGGGCAAGTCTCTTACCATCCATAAGTCTCAATGTATTCATTTGTGTAAATGTAAAGGTTGTGCTCAGTGTTGATGGACCTTTTCTGCTCTAAATGTATGGCCCTATAAAAAGGAAAAGGAATCAGTTTGGATATTTGAATTGTAGTGTTGACCCACTGCCCTTTCTAGGTTCCATTTTGATTCAGCAGACAATATGTTAAGCATATACTGTTCATGTACAAGGTGGCTTTATGTAACTTTTTCAGTTTTTCTCTGTGATTACCCATGAGATTAAAAGTATGGATTATTTAACACATGCATAAGTGGGAGTTAACATACCTATTTTTATAATGAAAAGAAATTTTCAAAATTTCCAGCAATCTGAGTGCCTGATTTTCTTTTAAGTTTTATAAGAACTTGTAGGAATATACATACATACATACATATTATATTACATATATGTGTATATAATCCTTGGGAAAAGACTATATGTATAGAATCCAAGAGTTTTAGAACAGAAAAGAAACCACGTAGTCCAGCCTTTTTATTGTGTAGATGGGGTAATTGAAGTCCAGAGAAAACTGAAGTTCACAAAGCAGAGCCGAGATAAGAACCTGTGTTTCCAGACTCCCAGGCCAATGTTCTGTCCCCCTGTATATTTGACAAAGGGAAAACACTGTTATTATTAATAATAATAACTGCATTTATTTAGTATTTTTCAGGTTTTCAAAGCATTTTGCAAATATTGTCACAACTCTGGAAGATAGATGCTCTTATTAATCCCCATTTTACAGATCAAGAAACTGAGGCTAGGGAGGTTAAATGAATTGCCCAGGGTCACATAGCTAGTAAATGTCTGAGGCTGGATTTGAACTCAGGTCTTCCTGATGTCAGCTGAAGTCCTTTGTGCACTGTATCACCCAGCGTAGGTGGCAAAGTCCAATCTATATAGGAAAAGCATAGTACAATAGAAAGAGCATTGAATATGTAATCTTAGGTCCTGAGTTCAAATTCTGCCTATGACTCTTACTACCTCTGTGGCCTTGGTCAAGTCCTTTAATTTGCCTAGGCCTCAGTTTTCTTACCTGTAAAATGACCAAATGTTTGGATTTAAACCGAAGGGTTGGACCATAAGGCCTTAGAAGTCCCTTCTAGATCTAGGTCTGTGCTCCTATGAGTCATTGAAGTTTTTCCATTTAGTTCCTAGTCAGCCTAATATAAGTCCATTTTCTATACTAGAATAGCATAATTGTGTTTTATGGTGGTTTTAAAAAGTAATGAAAATATTATTAATTTTTTAAGCTCCTTGAAGGTAGGTACTGTGTTCAGAGAACCTTGTGCATAGTAGTTATGTAATAAATGTTTGTTGAAGAAGGGGATAAGTAGTGGTCTGGGTGTTTGTTTTCTGAGTCTCTACTGATTCGTTTTTTTTGGCAGATTAGAAAAAATGACTCATCTTTCTGTTTTATAATTTCCCTGCCTACAGAAATGGGGCTAAAAAGACTCGTCTCTTAATTTACGATATAGATGTATGTCTTGAGGATGGACTGGTTGACACGTTTACAACATTTTAAACTGCTTGACTGAAGACATTGTTGCACTGGTAGCAGTAATTGCTGACAAATCAGGGTTGCCTAAACCTTTTTTTCTGACTGATCCTGTTAATGAAATAACATATAATCTTTTCAGATAATGTAACACACAATCCTTGGTGTTTTCCTGAGGTAATAGTGAAAAATGAAGCCTCATGTAAACCTCTATAACTTTATTATTCAATTTTTAGTGACTTTTGTATCTTGAGTTAATATAATAAGGGCATAATCAGAGGTACAGGTTGATTATTTAGGAGTACATTTGAAAAAATCTCATAGGTTTAAAAAAATGAATAAAACTAACAGTAGTTTTGTTATTGTTGTTTCTGTTTGCTTGCTGTAATTAAAAAGAAAAACCAGTCATGATTCATATTTTGGTAGGTTGCTTACATTTTCCAAAATATAGATAGTCTTTTCTTTCTTTGGACTTCTGCTGAGACTTAGGAGGTCATTTTCATGACATGCCTGAGAATTTGTCTTTGACAAGTTTTCTTCTACCTAGTCTTTTCTCCCTTGATTAAAATCTCTTTGAGGGCAAAGACCACATAATATGCCATTTCTGTACCTCTTACAGTGTCTGTCTAACCCACTATTGGGCATATAGGAGATGCCCATGAAATACATATTTTCATGCATTCTCATTGTGGATAGATTTATTGCTCCATTGAATAAAATGGAAAAGAAATATTGACACAAATTCTCTTAATCTTACATTTTAGTTAATTCTATAATTTCACATCTTAAAATCTAATTTGGCCCATAATTACAATCTTTTTTCTTTTTTTTTTTTAATATCAACTTCTATTTGGCCTACTTTATGAAGTTACCACCTCATAATGTGGAACCATTTCAAATTAGTGAATAGAAGAAATCCTAAAAGTCTTCAATGTCTCATACATTGGATTGGCAGTCCCAGGCTCTTTGTGGATTTGGTTTTTTTGCTCGTCTTTGGTCAAAAATTTCATGCCCATCACGGGCAGCTAGGTGGTACAGTGGATAAAGCACCAGCCCTGGAGCCAGGAGGACCTGTGTTCAAATCCAGCCTCAGATACTTAGTAGCTATGTGACCTTGGACAAGTAACTTAACTCTGATTGTCCCCCCCCCAAAAAAAATGTCTATCATTTAAACTTATACAGATGGAGTGTAAACTCATTGAAAGTAGGGTATGTTAACATTTTTGTCTTCGTGTCTCCATCATGGTCCTTGGAACATGGGAGACAGTTAATAAATACGTGTTGATGGATGGAGTTTTAAAACTGTAGGAGACTGAAAATTATCCTATTTTATAGGATAATGTGAAAAATTTGAAACATGTAGCCAAATTCTGTTGTAGGTAGTTACATTTATGTGAAGGTAATTAAGCCTAAAGAAGTTAATATGGGTATGGTATCACACTGTTGGTCACAATTAAAAAAAAATACAAGGAGAGAAAAAAAATCTATTTTGTTTTTCTTAAGTCCTGGAAGTTTCAGCATGCAAATATGTTCCTGCAGAGTCCAAAAATAGACTCTGTATTTTCCCTGTTATCACTGTTTGATCATCACTGTTTCCCAGCAGGCAAACTTATTTCTAGTTATTTTCATTGTGGTGCAAGGAATATATGTTTGGATTCAGTGATGAATCATCCTAGATGCATGTTGTGGTGGGAAATTGTCATAATGTTCAGCTGTTATGAGACACAAGTCAAAGCTAAGCACATTTAATGGGCTGAGATGAACAATATTTCAAGGCCATACTTTTTACACTTCAGATAAATGGGTGTTTTGATGGGATGAATCACATTAGCCAACAAAAGTTTTCAGCATATAGTGTGTGTGTGTACATATATGTATGTATAATGCTATGTATATGTGTATACATGTGTGTGTATATGTATGTGTTTATACATATACACACATATACATACACACACACACACACACACACACACAAAATGCTGCCAGGCTCAGGCTCACGTTTAACTAGTGGGGTTGTAAAGTCAATTAGGAAAGGTAGAGCCCATCCCTCATTCCTAGCAACACTACCATTACCTCTTTTAATGAAGGACCTTCCTTCCTTCCTTCCTTCCTTCCTTCCTTCCTTCCTTCCTTCCTTCCTTCCTTCCTTCCCTCCCTAGTCTCTCCCTCCATCCCTCTTTCCTTCACTCCTTCCTTCCTAATTTAGCTACTACAAGGACTAAATGCCGTAACTAAAGTTGGCATTTTCACTGTCACAGTAGCACAAATTTGCCTATGTTACGACCACCATTGTGGTAGAAAGAAAAAGACAAAACATCTAGTTACATTTAGTCCCCACCTCCTGAATGAAGGTGGGGGTAGAGGAATGAGAAGGCTGTCTCTCTGTGTATCCAAAACTATCAAAGCAGCTTGTGTTTTTGCAGGGAGAATGTGTTGCCTTTCTTTCACTGAAACTTTTGGTAAAGTACGTCTTTAATGAACCATTCTTGCATTAATTAGCTCTGAGCTTCTCACTAATAGGTCTTAGTTGCCTCATCTGCAAAATGAGGGGATTGGATTAGATTATTACTAAGGTCCGTTCTAGCTCAAACAGTCTATGGGTATGGTAATTCTGGTCTACTAGCAGGTGGCTGCTTTAAAAGCCAGGTTGGCATTTCATTGAATCTTGAATAAATTGTCTAGAGCAGAGTAGGTTTATCTGAGTCTGAGCCAGCTTTGTAATCACCAGAGCTCAGAAAAGGCAGACCATTGATTGAGAATGATATGAAAATATCTGGCAGCCAAGATGACCAAATTAATTTCACACTGGGCCCCACTGTGGAGCCACCAGCATTTGATTAACTATCACATAAGCATTCCTTAAATATCCAGTCTTTATGAGTGAAGCCTAGGTTCTCATTAGTGAACTGTGCTCTACCATCAACCATTGTAAAGTACCTCAATGTCAATATAAGCTCGGGCATGTTTAGACATACATGTAGAATCTGTCATATATGGAGACTAGCTAGGTTTCTATTTATTATGTCATTGCCTTTGTAAAATAAGGTTCTTAGCTGTCTAGTCATTTGGGGAGCTGGAATTATCTGAATGATTATTTCAGTTCTCTAATTTACTTGGGGTATACAGACACAACTTAAATGTGTTTAAAAATTTGTGTATTTCTAGAAAGGTTTTAAGAAGGAACAATATGTGTATGGGGA